TTTGGCATCCAACTGAGATGCATTGGGATATGCAGAGAGCCGACTCTCAGCTGTGTTTCAAGACAAGATCAAACAGGCAGAAGCAAAAGAGGAAAACCACGCAAGGATCTTGATGAATTGCAGAAAAACAATGTTCTAAGTGTATGTTTTTGCCCATGTTCTAAGTGTGGATTCTTGTTTTCTGGCTGCTGTTCTAAGTGTATGGTTTTGACATGTTCTAAATGCAGGGTCTGGAATTTTGGAAAAAAAATATGTTCTAAGTGGTTGTCCGCAACTATATACTTGTTGAGAAGCCGTGAAATTTGATCATATCGCCCTGCCAGGCGAAAGAGCATTGAACGTGCAGCCCAGGAATGAAGTACAGCTAAATGTCGTGGTCTGGAGTCTGGAGTCTTAGGCCATGACATCGGTTGCCTGAACGTCTACCAAATGTGCCTGGATATATTCCAAGCATTGAGCCTTCAGGGACAGGAAAGCTATCTAACAAGGAACCGAGACCAAATGCTTCTACCAAAATCCTCGTGCAAAATTGATCCTGGACACCTCCTAGCTCCGTCTACACTATTACCCCTCCTCGCCAAACTTCAGAAGTAAGGCGTTCCGGTTATCTTTTTGGAGCATTGGAGTCTTCTCTTGAATGTGACATAGTACACACAAACAAACTAGCATGCATGATGTTCCTCTCTTCACGCAACCCTAAGCCTATAGCCAGACCCAACATGCATACTTGGCCATTTTGTTGTTGTATCCTTTCTTCACCATGCTGCCTATCCAAGTTTGTGTAGGCAGTGTAGGCATCAATTACTTTGTTGAGCCTTGTTTTGTCGAGCAACATTTACAGTATTGACACCAACAAAACAATGAAAAGCTGCTTAGATCATGGGCTGGACTGCAAAATTGCAATTCTATCAGACATGAGAGTGAATCAAGCATAGGTAGAACAAGTCATGCTGGTCAACTGATCAAAAGGAACACGTTGAAGCTGGATGCAACTCGATTGTTCTCTAAAACAATTGGACTGCCAACACATAAATTTAATGATTTGTGAGGTGCCGTGATTGCATCATGCTGCAATTCAAGACATGCATTTTGCGCTGCGTGCGTACGAAGGCTGCTCTGGAACGGAAGAGAGTCTTGTTTTTTGCGAAGTAAGAATCCTTCTACACATTTCAGGCCAAGCACCTAGCTTTCAGCAGTCTCACCAAAAGAATCAAGTGTCATTTGAACGGTCTTTGTAGCTTTCGGAGTCCCCACCTTGAAATACTTGCTTCCAATCATATCTGCCATCTCCAAACGTTCAGCCACGGTCTCCACTTTGAAGCGCGTGACAATCACCTGAGATGTTAAGCTGCAGGCTTCTCTCCGGCCTTTTTAGCCGTTCCAGAAAACAACGTCGCAGCCCGTTTCAACGCAGCGCTTGAACCGGCCTGGACACAGCGCTCAACCAGACCAGGCACTTCGTAGCGGTGAGCAGCCTGGCTAAAAAAAGGGAAGAATAAAGAATGCATGAATAATAAAAGCAGAATATAAGAATACTGACAAATTAGCACAAGGTAAGGGTCCCTTTTAAAGGGACCTTGTTAAAACGGCCCTTGGGCCCTTACCTACTTCTTTCTTCTCTTCCGGAGTCGCCATGCTTCCACGTGTCGTCATCTGTCTGTGCTTTCCAACCTGATCCGAACTCGCCTCAAGTAGACTTAGTGCAAGATTGTCGTTGTCCAGTGAGGTCTGATCCACGACTCCAGTGTAGAGATATTTCACCTTACGGATTGGCCAAATCACAAAGAAAGTTCACATCGTCTATATGCTCGGAGTACATGACTTGATCCTTAGCTGAAGGCTAATGCTTTGACTGGAGCAGCCTCTAAATCCTGCAGAAGCACATCAGGTGCCAAAAGGCTGAAACAAAGAAGGTTCCACAGCCGATCTGCCTGTATGTGAACTTCCTTGTCCTTCTTCTCTTTCATTGGACCTCATCAACTCATCTTGCGGAAAGAACTATAATTACTCCACTCAATTGATCATGACGCGGCTGTGAATGAGATCTTGGTGATAGCATCTAAAGTGGTACGCTAAACAGTCAAGAAGGCACCCACTGGCAAACACCCCCTTCGACGATCTAAGCCGGTGGCAAGAAAACATGCGTTCAAAGACAGGAGATCGAGCGCCAAGAATAATTGAATGAGCTTGGATTTCTTCACTGCCAACCTGCGAAATTCTCTCAGATGTACAAGCCGCGCGATGCATAGTTAACTGCATGTTTCAGTGCAACGTAGTTTTCCTTGTAAATTGGTGAGGGCAAGCAAAAAGACAACTGGTTCTCATTGTTGTGTTGGAGGATGTTGCAATTTGCACAATAAAAAAGCCCTTGGGCCATTGACAGTTGACTGCAACCTGAAGCTGGAGATCCATGCCTTGAGTGCAACATCTGCCATGGATCCACTTTGTAGCAAAGCCTCGTGAAGCTTCTCCATTCATTTGGCAGGAAGCATTGTTCAGGTGTTGTCTTGTACGTTTGTCCTGAAGCGACTGGCAAACTTCTTGCTGACCGCTTGCCTGGATTGCTTGTGCAAAAGAGCTCCACAGCATGAACATTGTTTGCCTCTTTCTAAGTGCCTCGTTGGAAGATACAACCCCAGAGTCGAAGCTGACTACAACCTCAGAATGTGCACAGCAGCTTGTTCAGCATTGGGACTTTTATCCGGAGCAAAAGCTGCAATGGATCTGATCATTCTTCGTCATGGTCTACCGGGAATACGACAGACAGCTTGGCCACCACTCGTAAAGGCCCATTATGAAGCCAGCCTGCCTCAAAAAGCCATCAGGTTGACTCCCACGCATCTAATAGCTGTGCTGTGCTCTGCCTGGTGGTCAAAGACGTCGGACAAAGGTAAGCCCTTGCAACACACTTGTACCAAGTTTAAGTGTCATCTTTGGCACCGACGAACAAGAAACTACATCAAAATACTTCAAAAAAAGACAAGGGTTCAGCGCTTTGGTCTGCTTGGCACCAGACCTTGACACCATCATGGCGCCGACTATCAGGCATGTCGAAGGATCGTGACCATCCCCGGGCCTGCCAAGAAGCCACAGCACAAGAACACGCATTCAAAGAAATGTTTCTGCTTTGCGTTTGAAGCGCTCAAATAGGGTTTGCAGCATCTGTCCACAAAGCATCTTCAGGGGCCTTTTGACTCGAAATCCCATGATATGTAGGATCACACCTTTGCAAACGAGAAGGCGACAAATTCAAACCCTGAGACAAAATGAAAAATGTCACACACCGCCTTTCCTGCAGTTTACGTTATCAGGGTTTGATTTGCTTTTGGAAGGCTCCTTACTGTAACTGTTTTGGAGTGGGAGGGGCCAAGGTGGCTCGAAGAGTCTGAAAAATTCGGCCATCTACGGTCAACAGGCTCAACAACTGGTCAACTCTGCTCATAAGAAGCCTAGGTCAGCAGCAGAGTCATGTGAAAGTTCTTGAGCCGATTCAGGATGGTGATTTCCAGGGAAATGTTGCACTCCTGCGCCGTCAAGTTCTAAGCCAGTCCAATGCTTGGACCGATTCTGCGCAACTCCTCTGGATTGTCATCCAAACGCTTCACATGGACACCCAGGTTCTTGCTCTCCTGCAATATATCCAGTGAAAATAGTTTAACACAGCAGCAAAGGCAAAGCTCTGAAAATGTTCAATCGTGCGTTTCTTTTAGTTCGGATGTTGGGCTCTTGCCTTGCCTCCACAGTACCATCTGGCTTGACTGACCATGCCACTGCAATGCCAAAGGTGTACTGTTTGGCCTGAGCTCCAAAAGTACATCAGCTAGAAAAGGTGTGCAAGTAATACGCAGCTTCATCAAGCAAGCAAAAAGGTAGCAAGTCTCAACTTAAGGCGAGCTGCAACTAGAATCGGCCCAGATACAATTTCTCTGCAATCCTGGCAAACTCTCATCTCTTTTTTCGAGCTGGGACAAATGAATAGGAAAAGCCAGCAGCCAAAGCCCAAAGTTTATGTGAGGCCAATGTAGAAAGGACATTCGATCTAGACAATTGACCTGCTTGCCCTCAGACACCGTCTTGGTCGTGGCCTGTCTGTCACAGCACAAAAGCTGTCAGGATATTGCACTTGACTCAGGACTCAAGTACATACTATACTGTTAAAAAAGCTTACAAATGTAATATGTTAGAGCCAAATGACTGGATGGCTAAGCTTTGCTCAATGGTCACACGTAAGGCTGCCGCACAAGTAACGGGAAAGTTGGCAACCTCGAATTCCCCAGAGCACTCCTGGAAGGACTTGCCGATCGCCAGGCTTAAGGAGATGCACAGGCATGTATGCAAGTCTCAAAGCGCTCTTTTCCTTGACCCGAGCACCAGCTCTTGCACGGATGGTCATGGCAATCTCATGAATTCAGCCCAAGCGAATGTCCGATTTTGCTTGTAGCACCCATTTGGTTGTGGCGTGCTCTGCACTGCCTCATGAATCTCAATGTGTGCAAACCTCTACACTTTACTCAGCTACTCACCTTTGGAATGAAGAGTCTCCGAAGCGATTTAAAGCTTATACTGTGTACATAAGATTACATACATATATACTTCATTACATAATATCCATGAGACATGTGAGAGCTGCCGTGTTTCTCTTCAGCCTTAAACCGCAAGCTAATGTCATCAGAAGAATAACAACTGCTGATGCATTCTGTAAATCATTCTTCGAATCCTCATCCATGACGTGCTTTGTTGCTTCCAGTGTCCCATAACATGATGCTTTGCTTGGGCTCGCATCCGACCTTCAGATCTGCCTCACCGACAGTCTGCTCTGGCCTAGGCAAAGCTGCACACTCCTGATGTTCAAGAAAAGAAAAGAAGGTGTTTGGGTCCTTTTAATAATAAGACCCCCTTTGAAGGGAACCTTATTAAACGGGGCCAAACACTAAACACCTTCTTTTCCTCCTTTTCTTTCAATTTACAAACCACTTCATTTGGGAAACCAACACAACCGCAGCGGCTGCTGGCACCTGGAAAGGCTAGAGTCGTGTCCCTATGTCTATACCTTGTCACTGCTTCACTTTCTGATGACCAAGCCGGTCCTGCGCAGCGCTGGTCTCAGCAGCTTCTGCACTATAACTTTCAATAAATTCCTCGGCAAAGACAGACCCAGATTTTGCCTGTTCCTTCATCTGGCTTCCGGTAAATGCCCTGGAAACCAATATATTCAGTGCCTTCGTGTAGAAGACCGGCGCCGGTGCAGGAGTCGATTCTGGGGACCTCAGACGGATTGTCGTACAAAGCACATAGTAGCAAACCTTGTTCCGTTCGTAGCGATGCCAGGAGCCCCGTTCGTAGCGTCCTCGCTCCTACTAGTAAGGCCAGGAGCCCTAGTAGCTTCTTGTTCCTAAAACTCTCATGAGTGTCACATACTGCCATGTTTCACAGGTCTGTGCTTTAGTGTTTTGTCTGTGGACTTTGCCTCAAGGCCACAGCCCCCATTGCGCCAAAGGACCAAAGCTTCAACAAAGGTCCCTCTGTAAGCCAATTCCAAAGAAACAGAGGATTGGTGACTGGTGCATGCTTTCTCTGAGAAAGAGCCCCAGCGAACAATACAACTTAGTACAAGGGCAAAACCAGACACTTCCACAAATATCTTTGGTACGACTGGAGCGCATCGTTGGCAGATTGTCAGTCCTTTGGACAAACAACACTGCCCAACAGGCCAACAGAGCACTTAAATCTCTGATGCTATCACCTGCCTTAAACACTTAAGGGCCCGAAAGTCTCTGTAGTAAAACCCGAGCAAATCCTCAAATCTGAGGCATGGATTCCATCCTCAATCACCTCCGGTGAGTTGTTCCAGTGGCATTTGCAATTTGCACAAAATACGTTTTTTCATTGAGCCCCAAACTCAATGTAGCAAGCAGACCTGAATGATGCAAGGACGCTACTAGGTGCTCCTGGCCTTACTACTAGGAGCAAGGACGCTACTAGGAACAAAGGGCATCGCTACGAACGGAGAAAGGACGCATGAATGGCTGTGCTCCACAGAACGCTAGGACTACGGCCCACAAAGCAATTCATTAGGCTGTCTTTGACACCCCAGAAGGGCCTTGGACTGCTCCTGTAAAGTTGAATATCCAAATTATTGAAAGCGAAAGGGGAAAAAAAACTATAAATGACCTAAAGACCTAAAGCGAGCCTCCAAGCCAAAAGAAAGCTTTCTAAGAAAAAAGCAAAAGGGCTCGTCTTTCAGCTCCTGAGCTTTCCAATCAGCCTTCTAGCACGTTCCTGCAGCTTAAGTCATTCCAAGGATTACCTGGACGGAATTGTATTATGTGTGTTTTCTTCCCATGATGTGTGACACCATCAAGCAAAAAACACAAGCATAGGCTTGCAAGGGTGTGACGCCCCGAGAGCAGTCCTCCCACTTTGAGGAAACGGTTCTTTTGATGCTTGCCTGGCGCCTAGTAGTGCCAGAAGGCTGCCGAGCACTCAAGAGCTTTGACAAACCTGACTGAGTTGGACCTCCCCAAGCTTTGCAGGCTCACATCGCCCAATGTTTCCTGGTCAATGTGGACCTGGCAAAGGCTTTGCTGCGAAAGCATTGCCGTGCTCTGCTGTGGCCGTACCTCTTCAGCCAACCAAATGGCTTTGGTCAATTCGTGAGTGGAAATTCCCCAAACCTGGCCAAAAGGGGTCACCGTGAAAGTGTCAGCCGAAATTTGACCAAGCATCCAATGAAATCGAAAGAAAACATGCTTGTATTTTTCAAACACTTGCTGCTTCATTTCCGATGCCTTTGTGCGACCCTCACATTCCGCCATCTTGAGCGCTTGAAGGCCTGCCTGCGTAGGGAACCAAACCATGCAATTCATTGTGATTTCTCTGTTTATGGCACAATGCATCTTTGTCCGCTATCGGAAGGACACCCAAAGCTCTTTCCTCAATGTTCTCGAAGGCACGCCTGTAAACAGTCCACCTCAGAATTATCGATCACAAAGGCAAAGTGTTGTCTGGTCCACGGACTCCAACCACACAACATGTGTTCCTTTTTAAAAAATGCTCTATATATGTCTTTAATAGAGCCTATAGACTAGACCTTTCCGTTGTCCATCTTTCTTTCCCGCTGTTCCTTTTGCTCGTCTTGAAACGTCAAACATATCCAAACTCAAGCAAGGAGCTCAGGTGCACAAGGACCTGAACTTCGAGCGTTGATAAGCTCATGTCAGCAGTTGATGTGCTGTCGGGACCAAGGCTTGCTGTAAACATTGACCATGACGTTCAGCACCTATATATATATATGATATGCGGTCTGCTTTCAGTGACCTTGCCTACACCGCCTTCCAGCAAGTTTGCCTCCACAAATGTACGGATGAGGCCTTGCCTAGGCATTCCAGCAATGGTCAAAATACAATCAAAAGAACAGCAATGCAAAATCCTTCCAGCCTGAGCTAAATACCTCTGTGATCCGCTTAGATGTGCCAAATCCATCGTAGAATCCTTCTTGAGTAGAAGTCAACCGATTTGTGCGGGCTGAAATTGGCTCGTGTTGGCATCTCGGGATATTGAGACATTGCCCTCAATATCAGATGTCAATCCATCAAACGCCAAATTATTCCTCTCCTGCTCGTGTTTGACTTGCCCAAAACGGCTACTATCAATGTAAGCGGAAGGAGCTTGCACGCAAACCAGGCTGGATCTGGCTAAACATCATGTGCACAAAAGTGCCTGGCAGCAACTGGCAACTTGTTTCTCCAGGTCTGCGCAAAATCAGCAAAAGGCTCTCATCGGTACTTGCCGCCGTACTCATTCTTACCTCCAGCAGCGACTGTACTACTGATGTGCTCACCATTTTCAACATTGCATGTGGTGACCAGAGCAGGCGATTTCAGAACAAAAATGGCGTCTACAAGAAACTCCAAGTTCTAACTTGGCCGATGCTATGGCATATGATGAAGTATGTGAAACAGTGGAAGCTTCCTGCCTTTCTTCGAGTCGGTTCCAAGCTCGAAGTGCTTGGTACGCTTGATGGGCTTCATGCGCTTCTTCTTCCAAGCGGGGCAGCAATGTTCTTGAAGCTATACAACCAGCTAGGAGTAACTATATAAATGTAAATTGCAATGAGCTCCTGCATTGAAGGGCAGCACCCTCAACTACAAATTCTGTGCTAGCAAAGGGAAGAGGGAATCTGACAGTGGGAGGATGTCCTTGCACTTTGTGCACTCAAACTTCAGCACGATCTTCTTGGTGGTCTTTGCCTGCATAATGGATTCTGTGAGCAGCAAGTGGGCTGCTCCAAATAAGTGGACACTAGCTCATCCTGGCAATGAGCCTTCTTGTGAAAGATTGGCTTCGTTTGCCCCCCAAAGCCAGCCTCACTCAGGCCACTTGACTGGAAAGGCCGAGCAAAGGCCATGCAGGCAATGCTGTGACTGCAAACAACGAGCTCATTCTCACCTGCTTCTTGTCGTATCGTCGCTTGCCCTGGGCTGTCAAAGAAGCCTTGCCAGTCTTGTACTGCGACACCTGGCCCGGGCTGAAGCAAGTGCGCTCCATACTGCAGCTTTCAATATCTTCAAAGGATCAAACAAGACAGTGTCCTTTCCAATAGTCAGTGTCAATTTAGTTGACCGCCCCTGGAAAACGGAGTCCTACCGCATTGTAATTACTTCGCATCCTTTTGGTGTGCTCAGGTCTTTGCAGCGGCGTGTGTAACTATCTACGACTTGAGACCCCTTGCACCTTGTGAGGTGTGTGCTTCTTGCACGCGCGGCAATAAGTATTCCGCGTCTTCGGGATGTTCACCATGATCCTTTCATCTTTCGGGTGGAGTGAGGATGGAAACAGTACCGGAGTCTGCAAAATGTAACGAGAGTAGCTTTGCACAACGAGCCGCCTTTCCGCTTCACCGAAGCCAATGCGCAGTTTGGAACCCTTGAGCAAAACGCAGGAAGGGAGCTCGCTTGCGCCACGTCAACAGGTTCAACATCTGTGACTTGTTCTTTGCCTATCCAGGTAAACACGGGAGTGTCGAGAAACATCAGCAGTCCTTGGGAAACACTGCGCTGGCTTTCTGCTGCAAGCATCTCTGTGACTCTACCTCTTTCCCCACCCCTCTCCCTCTCCCTCTCTCTCCCTTTCTCCTCCCCCTCTCTCTGTCTCTCTCTGAGCTCTCTCTCTCTCTCTCTCTCAGAGAGACTCTTTCTCTTCCTGGCAAGTACACCCAACCAAAACCGTGTGGCATGAGAGCTCCTGAGCACTCCATCAAACAAACAACGGTAACCAGATGTTGGTCAGTGCTTACTTTGGTTCAAAAACAAAGGACAATAAAGTGACATGTGGGAGAGCCACATATCAGCTATCTCCAGTCAAAGTATCACAAGGACCGATGTGCTAGATGCAATGTCCGGCCGGTTTTGTTTGGAAAAGACACCTGCCCTTGTGCTCGTCCAAAGCCGCTGTTCCAAAGCACCAATGACGATCAAAAGAAGTTGTCAGCTTTTTTGCGACAGCTCTGCCACGTACAAGAACCGAGCTCACCAAGCTGACTCAACAAGGCCAAAAAGTCCAGAGTTCCCATATTCATGCACAAAGTCACTATAAAATACTATACAGTAAATAGTTATCTGCGATCCAAACATGATGTCTAGGGGTACACGTGCGTGCGCGCACGTGTCTGTGTGCGTGTTTGTGCGTGTTTGTGTGTGTGTGTGTGTTTGTGCTTGTGTTTCTCTCAAACTTTTCAGCCTCTCTGTACAATAGAGAAACCACTGAGTAGTATATGCACTAAGCCTCTGGCTGCTCTTCTGTCCGCTTGACTTGAACCGTTCGGGTGCTCGAAATGCTCCGCAATATCCAAGTTTACTGTAAGCTTTCATGAACACTGATTCATGGCAGCAATGTATATATTATGTCTGACTTCGGAGCATAAACACACTGGTCTGAAAGGATTGCCACAAGTCTTGCTCTTGGATCGTGGCAAAGCGGCAAAGCTCACTTTAGCTCGGGAAATTGCATTCTGTAACTCTGGTCTGAAAAGGTAAACTAAGCTCAAAACATCTACAGTCATCAGAAGCACATACCTTAGCATTCTGAGCTTGATCTTCTGGAGCTTCTGGAGCTTCTGGAGCTGGAGCTCTTGGGTCAGTCGAAAATACGATCTGACCAGGCATGGCCGGAATGGCCAGGTCGACATCCGAATTGGGCCAATGGGTGAAAAGACGGACATCTACTTCCTGATGCACAAAAGTTACACCTTGGAAGTTTGTACCAGCCTCACGTGTCCAGTCACATAAAGGATACATATATATATATAAGCCCTTGTGGTTGCGGACTGGTAGTAGTTATACTATGCAAGTCTTCAATGCATTCTGATTATTTCAGGTGTATGTAGGTATCTCGAATGTACAGTAAGTTTCGTCGGGCTTCAACCATCAATTGTCAGCAGTTCCTAAAAGGTCTTCCTTCAATAGGACTTCCAAGGTTTGTCAGGAAGTCGCTGCACTGTCTCCACTCCCCCTCAAGAGGATCATGAAGGATCTTGTCCCGTCTTTGGCCTGAGGTTGTCACTGTCAGGCTGTAGCAGAAGCAAAATAGAAAAAAAAGCCCTATTTTCAAGACGCTCAAGCTCAGAGTTTCCGCGAACAAACGCCCACAAGCTGCAAGCTTCAACTTTTACGGCTCAAGCTCCAGACGCACCAGAAGCGGCGTAAAGTCCTTGAATCTGCGTCTGGAAGCTGAACATTGCTTCTGGGGGACATGCTGAGGTCGTTGCGGAGAGGGAAAAACACGACTTGTCTCGCCTGCCATACAATGCCGTTCTTCTCTTATGATATACCGTTTCCCAACTCCAAATCTTCTGATTTTTCCTGAGAGGACTGGAAAGGAACAGTATTACATTGTACCAGGGACCCAACATCTCATTTCATCTTGTAGATCTGTGCAGTGCAGTATGCCAGCACGTACCGAACTCAATCATCCGTGCTTCAGCGTCTGCCTGCTCGACAGACCGCCGAGATATTTTTCCTGCCTCACACGCTCAGGCAAAGGACATAAAAGCAGCAGCGCAGCTGGCAATATCAACTGGGAGCTGCTCGGTTGGTTTTTCCTGAAACCCACTGCTACCTTTTGAAAGCTGGAACATGCCACAGCCAGCTTGCACAATGATCCCGGCGTGCCCCTATGCCTTCCAGTCTGGGACTCGGGTACAACCAGTAAGGTAGTAAGTACACAAGAAACTAAACCGATACAAAAAATGAGATTGTGCAAGCGATGAATTGGTCTATGACAACGCACATCAACGTCAACGAAGAAACCAACGAGAGGCAGCGAAATAGAATAGAATATATAGAAGAAAATAGAATAGAATAGAATAGAATCGGCAGCAGCCAAACTGAGACCTGCTCGAACCACACACTTTGAGCTCACGAAACTAACCTCGCTCAACCTGCCTGGGCCTTATCTTGGAACCTTCTGCAATGAAGAACCTTGAACCTCCAGAACCTCCATGGAATCTTAGCTTGTAACCTACCAGAAGAGGCACGACAAAGCTGGAGATGCTTCCTAAGCTTGAAGGAACCGAGCCGCCAGGTCAATAGGTCAATCGCTGTTGGGGAAATAGTAAGGAAGGAAAGGATAGGAAAGGAGGAAGGGAATGGTGCGAACTGCCCATCGTGCCTGGGCACAGATGCGTCTCGAAGCCTTTGCTACGTCCATGGCGAATGAGCCTGGAGAAAGACTCTGTGGGCTCTTGCCTCGGAACAGCAAAGCCTCAAAAGCATCTGAGTTGACAAAGTATATACCGTCAGTATTGATTACAACCGCAACAACAGCACAAGAAATTCCCATAGCCTGAACCTAGTGTCTAAGAAGCTACTTAAGCTTAGCAGCTACCCCAGCGACTTATTTGGCTTACTTGTTAGCCTCCTCACTGCCTTTAAAAGAAAGATTCAGAAATCGGGCTGCTGCTAGCAGGATTGAGGCTGAGCTCCAAGCGTTCTGAACCCCAAAATGTGACAATTGCCCTTGCACCTGTCAGACGCAGATCTATCTTGCTCGGGTACGCGTCGGATCCGAGATGCAAATTGTCATGGTCAAATAAAGGCACAGCAAAGAACCAAGAATCACCTTCCATGACAGTATGGCAATACAAATGAAGTTATTGAAGGGCTCCTCTTCCCTCTGCCAAAATATGGATGTCCTGATGCAACAAAGCCGCGTGATGCTACTGCAAGTGTTCCTCGAGCGAGATGAGCCATAACGTCCTCTGTGCAAAGCAAAAAAATAGCGCTTGAAATGCTTCACGCCTACGGGCATTTTGCCCTACGATGACACATGATTCTACTTTCTCATGTGGTGACTCTGCTTCCGAAAATCACCAATGAAAAAACTTCCCTCCTCTGACTCCACGGTCACATCTTCTATGTCGGTCTCGTTGCTGTGTGCGTTGTGTGCCTGCAGCATCTGCAGCAGCCCTGTCTTTCTCTTGTTGGTCAGCAATGACTCACATGTCTAGTCGTTTTTGCCGGTCCATGTCTAGTCGGTAGCTTCGGTTAATAGCATCCAATGACAGAACGGCCAAACGGCCCAACGGCTTCTGTCGACTCCAGTCTGGCCTTCCGTCTTGGGACATTTGCACATACAAGCTGCACAACTGGGTTGGCTAGGCGATGCTAGGCGATATTAGGCGATGCTAGGCGGCTAGGCCCATCTTCGGCTGCCACTTGCCCACGAAATTACCCTTCCCTCACACCTCTCGTTGTGATGGCACAGGTGCCTTGCAATTTCTCATGCTGTACAAGACAAGCACAAGGTAGCAGCATCAACAAGCATTCAGCAAGACCTGGCCTCATGCTGTTGAGGTACCCGTTCAATGCGGAAGCTTACGCCTTCGGATAAACGCATGGGAAGCTGCCAAAGATATGCTGCCATATAGTGATACTCATACCAAGCATTCAAGAATCGATTCCATCTGACTGCATGATGAAGTCATCGTACAGCGCCGGTTCTTGCATTTTTCAACTGTTCCTCCAGCCTTCGCACTGCCAAAGCAAAGGCTGAATTGGATCGGTCTCTGCCACCGTGCTAGGTCTGCCCAATGCTCAGTGCACAGTCAAGACACATTCAAATATAAAACGGCAAATGGAGTATGTTATGCGCTATGTGTACACATGTGTATACATATATATATATACACAATATATATGTTTCCTCACATTCCTCACAGACAGCAAGATTCGTGATGAGCTCCAATCTTTGACCAGAACAAAAGAAATTTGGAAACGTGGCAAAGGCGGAGCCTGTGCATCATCATTCGGAATGTGCCACCGCAAACCACTGCCCAGGTATGATCATCCACCTCTGGAGGTGAGTGGTATGCAGAATCAGAAGAAGTAGGAAGCCCTTTGAAGAAAACTGCTTGGAATGAACAGTTTTCAGATGTTTTGTTTTGCCACTGTTTGTGTTGCCTCTTTTGATTGGGCATCGTTGTGCAGAAATCGCTTCGGTCAAGAAAATCCTCTAAAGCTCTTGGCCGTCGCCTCTCTTCACTCCAACTCTCTTCCAAGTCCGAAGGCCCACCCCACCTCCGACCACCCGGCCCGCTGATCACAACCTGAGTCGAGAACCCACTCAGGCGGTCACTCCGTGAGGTCTTTTGCAGCGGTTCGCAAAGATTTGGAGCCCCGAACTGCCTTGGAAGCTTCTTCCTCCACAGCGGCCGGTGTCATGTCGCTTTGTTCATGTCTTCCGATAACGAATGGCTTCAGGTTCGAAAGCCACTCAGTGTTTTAATGAGGCGTTTGTGGACA